GGGCTGGGCGAGGGGCTGGCCAAGGGCAGAGGCAGAGGCCGGCACGCAAAGCGGGAAGGACACTTCCCCAGCGAAGGCGTCCGTGCTTAGCTTGGTTCCCAATGGGCGTTCTGCCTTCCCGGCCCCCTGCGTGGCGTCGGAGCGGGGGTGAAGGTGCTGGGGGTCGAGGCTCTGAGCGAGAGCTTGAACCACCCGGTGAGGGGAGGGCCTGACCGCCTTAAATCCGGAGGAGGTCCTGAGCTCCGCCGCCTCCAGCCACTGCTGCTGGGCGAACCGGAGCGCAGGGATCAGAGCGGATGCGCTTTGGGAGCGCCCCTGCCTTCGGGTACAAAACCCCCTTGGAGAGGCCGGCTTGTTCCCAAACGTGGGTGTTTCTAATGACTCTGGCAGCATCCTTATTCCATTTTCCATCTTTAAAATAGTTTTTCATTACTTCCGTCCTGCTTTGTATTAATTAGTTACAATTAGAGCTCCTGAAAGATTTAGGGCACGAGGGCAAAGAATTAATAGCGGGAGAAGCCAGCGACCTCGCTCCGAGGTTGTGCATTGCGGAAGAGGCTGGAAAAGCCACGGGCTGGTGGGAAGCAGGGGTGTCCCCGCTCCCGAGCTGCCCCCGAGGACGCTGCTGACGGGTTTATCTGACGGGTGCAAAGCCCGTCCGCCTGATGGTGTCGATGGCGCCTGTACGTCCAGGGCTGGGAAAGCAGCAGGGCAGAAATCCGCCTGGTTTTCCTGGGACGCCTGGCATCACCTATGATTTTGTTTTTTCAAAATCCATTCCTTAATCTCGCCCAGCTTCGTGATTTTTAAGCTTCAGTCGTGAGGCTGCTGCCCTTGCTGGCAGCCGTTTGCCCCGGCACCGCTGCGCTGGCGTCAGCGTTTCCCTGGCTGATCCGGCCAAGAAGGAACCGGCAAATAGCGGATCAGTTTTCCCTGGTGGGAGCTCACCGGGGGATTATGTGGCCACTGCTGGGCGGGGATTCAGGCTGGATGTAAGGAAGAAATGTCTTACGCTGAGGGTGGTGAAGCCCTGGCGCAGGTTGCCCGGAGGGGTGGGAGATGCCCCATCCCTGGAAGCAGCCAGGGTGAGGTTGGACGGGGCTTGGAGCAGCCTGGTCTGGCTGGAGATCATGGAATCCCAGAATGGTTTGGGTTGGCAAAGCCCTTTAAGCTCCCCCAGCCCAACCGTTCCCCTACCCCTGCCATCCCACCCCCAAACCCTGGCCCT